CTAGTAGATCAAGATGAGGAGCAATAGGTTGAGAGCATGGCGGCTCAAGTCTCCGCGTCGAGCAATTCGGCAAAAACTAAAGGGGCATTTTTACGTGGAGGAAATGCAAGATACTACAAGTTTTCAAGTGCACGCGCTACTGTAAGCACTTCGGAGGTTAAATAAAGTCTCTGATTGATGATCCAAAATTGATTCCCTTTAGACTTTGCGGACTCCGGTTTGATAGCGTGCCTCTCCTTATTGAATTCTTATGGGAGATCGCCGCTGTTCCGGTAAAAGGCTCAGTCGACTAGCTGGAGTGCCGCGCTATAGTGGGAATGGGCTTGGGGGAATGTATACAGCCTTTCGTTGGGAGTATTCGAGGTTGAGCCGCGTTGGGTACGATTTAGGTCGGACCGAAGGGAAGCTTCTAACCAGGCGAGTGAGCTTTAACAATGATGGTGTTGTCAGTGAACCATTTTTGCACCTGACGATCGGATCATACAAACATGCCAAGTCTCCTGTCTGTGAAGCCTGGTGAAATCGTCTTCCCCAACACTTTGTATCAATCGGTCAACACGACCTTGTCCCTGACTAACGTTGACGGGGACAAGAAGGCGGTGGCTTTCAAAATCAAGACGACTGCTCCTCGCAATTATCTAGTTCGACCCTCTTCTGGTGTTGTTGCTGCCGATGCCACTGTAGATGTGCAGATCATTTTGCAGCCGCAAACCTCGGATCCGAGCCTCAACACAGATAGATTCCTCATTCAAGCCACCACCAGTGCCACAGGTCAGCCTCTTGAACGTGATGAGTGGGCTCGCGTTGCCAAGGCGGATATTCACGAGCAACGTCTCCATGTTATCTTCAAGCCAGCTGAGGAAGGCTCTCAGACCAAGGATGGTGCTGTTGCTGCTGTGCCCTCTGCTGCTCCTACGAGCTCAGCCAATATCGCAGCTGGAGAGCTGAGAGGAAAGTACGATGAACTAGTTCAGTATACACTGTCAATTGAAAAGGAAAAGTCCAAGTTGGAGAAAGAGCTTGAGGCTAATAAGGTAACAACTCGGTGGGTCCTGATTGGCTCAGTCGGGGAGCTTTTCTCTATTCAGGCTCGTAGTGCGGTAGTGGCTCGCTCTTCTTCGGGATTCACGACTATGCAGCTGCTCATTTCTATGGTTATCGCGGTCATCATCTCTCGTTTAGCAGCACTCTATGGGTACTAAATGACAGTATGTGCGGTGGCTCATAAGAAGGGATTCAACTCATCATAAGCATCTGTATATGGCAAGTACTTCGAGTGTCGTTCTACTCTTGCATCTGCTCTTGTTATAAGAATATCACCATTCTCGAAGGGTTTTCTTAGCGAATTCATCGTACAAGACGGCCGAGGCATAACTGGTACCGTCTCTTGTCTAACTTCTCTGCGATTATGGATACTCCTTCTTGTGTGGTCACTACAACAATCGGCTGTGAGTAGCGATGACGCTCTGGTGAGTGATATACAACTCTCCTGGAGCACAAGCCTTGTATCGTATTGCATAGACGCACCCCAGGAGCTTGCGTTCAGAGTTGTTAATGATGACTTGGTGGCCCTTCCCAAGCAGGTTTTTTCTTCACTGAAATGACAGTCTATGTTGTGTTTGTGAGGCATGCCGAGTCTGCTAACAATAAACGAGGCACTAATGATACGCGAGTGAGGCAATTGTTCCGAGCTCTAGCATTGCAGCCTTTTATGGTTCAGGGGAACGAGGATAATTTGGGGTCTGCTAATCAGCGAACACGAGCGCGCTCCGCTCAGGGAAGGGAGGCAGATCCCGCTCTCACTGAGCGAGGCTTGAGACAGGCTGAGGCTACTGCACGCTATTTAGGTGAGAGTCAGTATACACTGACGGATTGGTGGAATCTCTGTTGCTCAGATGGTTTGGCAGAGAAGGGTGTTTGGACTGTGAGGAAGCTCATCGTGTCACCGATGTTGCGAACCCTCCATACTGCCCGGCCAATGATGAAGGTGGGCATGTAAGGGGCGATCAGTGGGAACTGATCGTTGATTGTTGATCAGTGGGAGCTCGCACTCTCTCTTTGTGGATCTGTATTGGAAGTAAAGTTGAACCTCGGAATTATGTCAGACCCGACTGGGCGAAGGAGAGGTGGCGATAGACAGTCGGTTTCACGAGGAAGGCGGCCTGTTCCAGGGGCCCCGATCTTGCCGAGGGAAGGATGAGGAATTCGTGTGAGTTTGGTTGAGAGTATCTCTTGTCTTCGATTGACCTACTATGGAACGGCTTACTGAGTTGTACTTGCCACTATCAGATTCGGACTGAATCGCCGAGAAGCATTCGAGGAGCTCGACTCCAACCGGGGCTTTGAAGATGTGCAATGGATTGGCCCCGAAGAGAGCGAAATAAATGGCTGGTACTATCAGCTCACATGGATCGCTGGGGATGTTGTTCAGTATACTGTTTGGCTCTTCATTGCCGAGATGGTCGTCTTATCAGGTGGACCGGCGGTTTTGAGGAGCAAGCTGCTACTCGAGCCAGAGCTAAGTGTGTTGCGGAAGCCCTTTGGGATGCTGTGGGGAAGATTGAAGAGGTAAAGTGTGAAAATGCCTTCTCCTCATTGTGCGGCCCAACCCGATCATGCGTGCCCATTCAGGACCGTGCAGGGGAGGATAACTCTGCCATAGTAGTGGTATCGCATGGCTTGTTTCTGGATGCGGTGTATTGCGAGCTTCTTGGTATGTCAAACGTCGGAGAGAGAAGCAGTTTTTTCATGACGGCCAATTGCTCTGTATCGGTGATGATGTTCTCTGAATCACATAGAAAACGTAGATGTGGATTTGTGTGCCATGGTTCCATCGCTCATCTGCCGGCTGAGCTGCGTACGGGCCATTCTATTGGTGGTCTAAAGCTCGACCAGAAATGGGTGGCACTGTCCTGAAAGTCTACGTCACGATGAGCTTCCTCGTATGTATTTGCTATTGTTTGTACTGTCCCGGTAATTCCTTTGCAAACATGGTTTCGTTGATTAGTGCTATCCACTGGGAAATGAAGTTGATTGGGACTAGTAAAAGTGACTTCACTCGGGGTCGAACCTGCGGTCTTCCGATGGATTGCTTCTTGGACGCGCGCGCTCCCGTTGAGCCAAAATAGAAGCTTAGAAATTTGTAAAATTGTTTCGTGTTCGAGCCACTGTTGTGCATATGGATCCATTACATCTTGAAATTGGTCTCCGTGGATTGTGATTCCCCAAACCCTAACGGCACCTCGTGTCTCGAGCGATCGATGCAAGGACAAGTGCTGCGCTATCGAGCAATGAATAAGAAACGAGATTGTGTAGAAGTTGGAGATTCGTGCGAGCCTATGGTTAATCTCTCCGACTAGAGGACTTTGGGTGGTTCATGATGGTGATGTCGTGACCCCTTGTAGAAATCTATTATCTTTGCTAATCCTTTAATGGCTAACATTTCGCTGCGTCAAGCATCCGCTCATATTAGGAATAGTCGTATGGACAGACTCGCAAGTGGAGACAAGGCAGATAGTTCCCTGGAGCAAGCTTTGCTGAGTAGTAGTAGTAGTAGTAGTAGTAGTAGTAGTAGTAGTATTGCACAAGATGTCGACTGCGCTACCTTTGTTGCCTTACCATCTTGACTCAGGTAGCAGCGCTCCGCCCATGTCTGCCGCCAGGAAAGAGTGGCTGGGGATCAAGTCTATGCTCTTTGAGCCCTTCAATGTAATCGTCGGTGAATTTGGTAGGGAAAGAGTGATGTTCCTCAGGCTCTTGTAGTCTTCGTTCCCATCGGTATATGCGCCGGCATCTTTCAATGGTCTCCTCTCTGGATATTCACTACCAACTTCATGGCTCTGCTACCGCTTGCGAACATTCTCGGTAGTGTTGAGTGCTGAATATCTTTTAAATTGATTACTTTAACCTCCCTGTGTATGGTCTAGGCGATGCCACTGAGGAGCTGTCGGCTGGGCTGAAGAATGAGACTTTGGGAGGTCTCTTGAATGCGACATTCGGGAACGCAGTAGAAATGATTGTCTCAATTCAGAGTCTCATGCTGGTACGTGGCCGAATTCGCAGTGGGTTTATTGACGTCTCCTTATCAGAATCTGATAACCGTCGTCAAGGGCTCCTTACTTGGATCTATCCTGTCCAACTTGCTACTGGTAATGAGCTTATGCTCGGATGAAGTGAATATTATGTGATGTGATTACCTCGCAGGTGTTGGGGATGTCCTTCTTCTTTGGCGGGCTCGGTCGACGTAATAAGGAACAGGAGTTCCTTGAGACGGGTCCCATGACCAACATGAGCATGCTCCTGCTAGCCTGTGCGGCTTTTGCAGTTCCAACGGTGATACCACACCACCACCACCACTTCGGGAGCAACACGTTTGTGTTCAGGTCTTCAAGTCGTCGGTTGGGTCGGAGTTCAGCAGCTCAGTTCAGTTGGACGACACTGTGTTGAGCATCTCTCGAGTCGCCTCGATATTCCTCCTTCTAAGCTACATAGGGTTCCTATTCTTCCAACTGTGAGTACTTGTATTTTGCTTTCGACGAAGTTTCAACTCAGGTACACTCATCTTGAGGTCTTCGAGTCTGAGGACGACAACCAGGCCGAAGCGACTATGTCTATCTGGTCTTCCATGCTCATTTTATTGGTACTAGTCGTGACTGCTGTGCCGGCGTTCTGATCTTCTTCTTCCAGGTCTCTACCGTTCTTGTGGCAGTAAACTCAGAGTTTTTGGTCGGGTCCATTGAGGGGGTTGTGTAATACTGGACATGTCCTTTGCCATGAAGTAGATGTGTCTCACCAGGTCCGAATGCAACGTTTCAGCGTCGTTCATTGGCGTCATCCTGCTGCCTATCATCGGCAATGCCTGTGAGCACGTGACTTCTGTCAGGATGGCCATCATGGACAAGCCTGTGATTGCCATCGGCATTGCTGTGGGTTCCAGTACGCAGATTGCTCTGTTTGTCGTAAGTAGAGGGAAGGTGGATGTTCCACTGTGGAGTATGTTCTCCGTTTAGATTCCCTTCGCTGTGATAGTCGGCTGGTGCATGGGCGTTCATATGGACTTGGACTTTAATGCGCTCAGTGTTGCTATTCTGGTGGGAAGAGGGAGCGCCCTATGCTGTTATCATCGCTCTTGTTGAACGGGATGCATCGCAGGTCCTGTCTGTTATGATTACTTTGTCTATCCTGGTCGATGGAAAGAGCAATTGGCTCGAGGGTTTGATGCTCCAGCTCACCTATCTCATCATAGCGGTAGCCTTCTGGTAAGCTCATAGCCTCTGCCCGGTGTCTGCCAGCTTGTCCTCAGGTACGATCCTTCGAGCGACTTTGGAGCGCCGGGAGCGCCACAGTAGGGTTGGACAAGATCAAGCTCTCGCCGTACAATAGACGTCACTATGCTGTTGAGAACTGTTTTACTGAGTTATATTATCTGATTTGGTACTATAGAGCCGCGAAGCACTCTCTATCACTGAGAGTTGCCGATGCGTCTATATGATTACAACTACAACTTTGAGATCTTTGCTCGTCGGTTGATACCCGTCTGCTGTCAATGAATGGTGGACTACTATTGTGTGATGGGAAGCGTTCGGCTGAAGAGTCGCTGAGGAACTGAAGTTCTCGCCGGAGTCACGCTTTTGTACTTACCCGTGGCGTGGTGTCGAGTTCCGTAGTCGACACATGTCGATTCGGACCTCGGTAGGAGAATGGAGTTTCGTGGCGAGTGACGGAGTTGCGTTGATGATAGTTGGGAGGAGGTGGGCGGGATCAATCCTGGGTTTTCCCAACATTATCTGACAACACTCCCGCGATGAGATCCCCTCGTATGGAGAGATAGTCGAGCCAATAGAGACGACCGCACCGTAGTTATGACTTACTATGTTATTTGGTGTCGCAAACCTGAGGAATGTCGAGCCACTTATGATGAATTGCAAGCCCTACTGCAGCATTGTGCCGGACCCATGGGCTGCCGGTGAGGGTTGCTTCATGGTACCATGCTGGTAAGCTGTGTTGTGGCAATCAAACACCCTTCCAGTGTTTTGCGATTACACAGATAACTCGATCGATAAACCCCATAAGATTTTCGAAGCCTTTATCGGGTACAAGCAGTCGAGAGATGATGATGGTGATAGGCCTGTGTGACAGCATTCTTTGACATGTGTGTTGAGTTATTCAATACAGTGCTTGTGTTACCCTCCTGGCCTTCGTGAGCTGTAGCAGGTTGGCTATGCGCCTCCTCTCGATTCAGGATTTGGAATCATTGATTCTCCCTTCCTTCTGATACGTTGTAATGCTCGATTGTTGTCGAAGTTGAAGTGAGCGTGTTACTACGATCATCAGTGGTTTTGAATAAACATGTCTGGAATTGTCAAAGTATGAATGCAAGCGAAGTTATGTAAGATCCAACTTGTAGATAACGCAAACCAGACCTTGAACCTCAAAGTACACTTTCAATGCACAGTAGATATGATAGAACCGTGACATTTACGGAACTTATTCCTCATTGGCTAGGCCGTGGAGTTTCGTGGCGAGTGACGTTTTTGGGACATACTTCGTCTCAAAACGAAAAATTAGGCGGAGCGAAGCTGCTTTGTCCTCACCGCACCCGTTTTTTATGTAGGCTAGGGCTGGCTTCTACCTGTTAGTGTGACTGTTGTGAAGCTCTTGACACCCTAATAGCAGTCGGGGAATGAGTAAAATGCTCTATATGCCCTCTGAAAAGTGGCTTCTCCCGAGTCATACCCCCAGACAACTGAACGATCCTTTCTGGTTGTGAGGTAGATTAGTATTGGAGTCTATCACTGAGTGTCCGAGTGCACTGCCTTGCTTCTCGCTATCCGATAACCCCTCTTGGGTTTGAGTAGTAGTCCTCGTTTCATATTCCCTGTCGTAGTAGCCGTATGGGTGAATGAAATATGCAAGCTATGTAGTCTCATTGGGTATCTCTGACTTTTCAGCAGCCGCTTGTCTTGTTCTTATTATCACCCCTTCACCCGGCCCGTCATGGATCTCACAAACCTCTTGCTCATGTGCCAAGACCCTACTAAGAGGTCTGAGGCTGAGGCGCAGCTTGCCACTGCGGAACAGGTAGGCGAGCTGCTGTAGATAGGACGGGTATAGCATAGTGCTTGTAGAGCAACCCGGCGCAGCTGTTCCCTCTACTGGCCGCTGAGCTCGCCAATGAGGAGAAGCCCCTTGGGGTCCGACAGTTGGCCGGTTTGGTTTTGAAGAACGCCCTTAGTAAGAAGGACAAGGCCAGGAAGAAGGAGTGCCAAGAGAGGTACAAATGAGGGAAGTGCCATTCAATGTCTCTCGTTGACGAATACACTGGGATTTCCATTGACCAGGTGGCTTGCACTCGATGAAAACGTCAAGGCCGGCATCCGAGAGCTGTCTGTGAAGACTCTGACAAGCAGTAAAGAGGTTGTTGCGAGGAAGACTAGTGCTCAGGTAAGGTGGAGGAATTGGTGGTGACGGGTGTGTTCATTCTACTGTTAGGTCATCTCTGCTATTGGTGGCATTGAGTTGCCGAGGGGTCAGTGGAAGGACCTAGTCCCGGGTCTTGCCGAGCAGGCTCAGAAGGGTGATCCTCTCACCAAACAGGTATAGTCATGGATTTCGAAAAGGCGCTTTGTATGATGATGTGGTTAGGTTGTGCTGACTTGTTTTGGGTACCTCTCGGAGGAGTTGGCCACTCTGGTCGCTGAGGCTGGGGTGGAGCTGCCTGCTGATACATCATCACAGATCGTCACGGCTGTGGTGCAGGTGAGGATTATGTTTAGCTGTTAGTTGTGGGCTAACTAGTGCTGTGTCAGGGCATGAGGGATGAGTATGTGCCTGCCAAGTTGGAAGCTACCAAGGCATTCTACTATGTGCTGATACTTGCCGAGAGCAACTTCAATGACGAGGTAAGAGAGTTGTCAAGGACGTATATGATGAAGTATAGAAATATTGACATATTGTCTGGTGTAACTGTTTACTATATCTGTTATATTTTGCTATTTCATTATAATACTATTTTCGGGGAAAGGAAGCGATTTGTCGGGTCTCAGAACCAGCGGAACTTCATGATGGAAGTTGTGTGTGAGAACGCCAAGCATGCCGATGACAGCATCAAAGTGGCAGCATATGAAGATCTGGTCCAGGCTGTATCAGAATACTATGACTTCATGGCTCCCTATATGCCGATCATAGGAAACGTAATTTCTATCGCTTGCCGTATTTGGTGGAGTTCTTTTCGTCCGGTCTCAGCTCTCGTTCGAATGCATTTCGAAGGAGCGTGATAACCTGGCCATACCCGCAATGGAGCTCTGGTCTTCTATTTGTGACGAGGAAATCTTCCTGAAGGACATTGAGGAGGAGGTAGTGGTTATTACTAATGGCAACTTGCCAGAGTGGTGTCGCTTACAGGCTAAGAAAGAAGGTCGTGCGCCGCCTCGCCAATCGCAGAACTTCATCAGACAAGCCCTGGGCTTCCTCATACCATTGCTGACGGAGAAGATAGCGGCTGCTAATCAGCAACTTGTAGTAGTGTCTCGAGATGCTGTGAAGAGAGTGAGGTGTATGCTTAGGATGAAGAAGATGATGATGATACATGGAGTGCAGGGATGGCCGCTGGCACTTGCCTGTCACTAGTGGCACAGGTAGGTTGTGTGGACAGCGGGAAAGAGTATGTGGTGTTGTAGGTTGTTGGTGATGACTGCGTTGAACCCGTACTTGTATTCGTCAATAACAACTTTGGAGCTCCCGATTGGCACCATCGGGAAGCAGCCATTCTAGCGTAATGATAGAGTATACTCATTGGGTTAGGTTGGTATTACTCTCTATCAGATATGGTTCGATCATGGATGGACCATCTACAGCGAAATTAGGACCACCGGTCCAAGCGGTAAGAAGGAGGGCTTAGCTTTGCATCGCTGAGGGTCTCCCACGTTCAGTCGCTACCTCACATAGTGGCAGCTCTTAACGATCAGTCTGTGGCCGTCAGGGACACTGCTGCTTGGACGATCGGCCGGTAGTGCTTGCAGTTTGCGAGAGAGATTTATGCACTGTTCTTGCAGGATTGCACAGTTCCACACGCCGATATTTGCCCAGAACCCGCAGATGCTGGCAGAGCTGATCCCTGTGCTCTTCAACAAGCTTCAGGACGAGCCTAGGGTTGTAGTGAATATGTAATTTACTGGTGGAGATTTAGTGACAGTGTCTGTATGGTCGTAGTTGCTGGATTTTCGACGTGCTTGGAAGCGACCAGGATAGAGATGCTAGCACCACCATCCTCTCGCCCTACTTCATTCAGATTGTTCAGAAGCTGTTGGAGACCGCTCAAGTGAGTTGGGTATATTCTGATATGAAAGTTGTATTTACTCGCTCAGCGTCCCGACGGAGCGAAGCGAGGCCTTCGTAATGCGGCTTATGCGGCGGTCAGCTCTATAGTGAGTGGCAGTGGAAGAGATGTGCAGAAGCACATGCCAGAACTGGCTGGTGAGATGGCATCACGATTGGAGCAGGTAAAGGGAGGAAGTGGAGTTGTTCACCTTCCTTACCGACATGCTTGCTGACTATAGATTTTGAACCCCGCGGTGGTGCAGCAGCTTAACGATAAGGAGTGTGAGTTACATGGTCATATCTGCGGCAACTTGCAGGTGAGATGGTCAACAGTGTTCAGGGTAGAGGGAAGGTAAGTGATTGTAGGTAGTGACGCAGAGAATGAGGGGTAATGCCGATATGGAGCCAATGGCCGATAAGTTGATGCAGCTCTATATGGGAGTAATAGAGACCTTCTCACGCTGTGTCTGATAATGCTCCTGTTATGTAAGGTTTTAGAGCTCTATCAGCATCTCCAGCAAGCATCGCACCCGAATGTTGTTGTGGTAATAGGCCTTCTATTTCACCACACAGGGCTTTATGCTCATGTATAGGTCCATGAGGAAGCTCTCTTGGCAGTCACTAGTTTGGCGTCGGCACTTGGGGAGGTATGTAGGAAGACTGCATCTAGGGGAGCAACCTTTTCGTCTCTCAGAAATTCAACAAGTACATGCCGCAGTTCGGTCCTGTCGTGATAGCAGCAATAAGCAATCATGAGGAGTTCTCGGTCGGTGGGCTTACTGACCTCATTTGCATCTTCTTTTGTCAGGTATGTCAAATGGCGATAGGTGCTGTTGGTGACTTGGCGAGGGCATTGGATAGCACCCTGGCTGGAGGTAAGTTCATTGTAGACTCTATGCGAGGGTTCAGTGTAGGAGATACAAAATGAAAATTTTAAGAACTCCTTGTCGGTTTCCGTGCACTAATTCGTATATATACTCCTACAGTGAGGAAACTCTCGAACTCAGTTGAGGAAATGAACATATATTCCTCCAACGCTGCGATGGTTAGGACCGAATGAGCCACTGCTTGACAAGATGATGGAGGCGATGGTTATGCTGATGCAGAATCAAGATGTGGATAAGAGGCTCAAGCCTGACGTTTTCCGAGCTATATCGGACGTTGCTCTAGCAGTGAAGGGAGGTATTGTTGACCTTGTAGTTGAGGATCGTGTGGGAGTTATAATTCAGCATTCGCTAAGTACCTGCCTACTGTGATGGCAGTAGCGCAACAGGCCACTGCTATTACGGCGAGTCCTGATGCCGACGAGGAGTGGATTGATTATGTCAACGACTTGCGGAGCTCAGTTTTGGAGGCATATACGGGTAAGTGTTTCGCTTCGCTCCGCCTCTGAC